CCTTCCTGTGTTTGAGGCTCACCAATGGTTTCCATCTTGTGGTGAACCCTCTGTATTCACTCTGGTGAAGTCTTCTCTTGATTGGTGACTTTGACACACATACACCTACCTCCTGGAGAGTGTTCTTGATCTGGCCAACTGTTGTGAAGGGTGTTTTCTTCACCAGGGAAAGAATTCTTCGCTCATCCACCACAGTTGTTTTCCGTGGTCTTCCGGGTCTTTTGGTGTTGCTGAGCTCACCGGTGCGTTCCTTCTTTTTAAGAATGTTCCAAACAGTTGTTTTGGCCACGCCTCATGTTTTTGCTATCTCTCTGATGGGTTTGTTTTGTTTTTTCAGCCTAATGATGGCTTCACTGATAGTGACAGCTCTTTGGATCTCATCTTGAGAGTCGACAGCAACAGATTCCAAATGCAAATAGCACACTTGAAATGAACTCTGGACCTTTTATCTGCTCATTGTTATTGGGATAATGAGGGAATAACACACACAACCTGGCCATGGAAACAGCTGAGAAGCCAATTGTCCCATTACTTTTGGTCCCTTAACAAGTGGGAGGCATATATGCAAAACTGTTGTAATTCCTACACCGTTCACCTGATTTGGATGTAAATACCCTCAAATTAAAGCTGACAATCTGCAGTTAAAGCACATCTTGTTTGTTTCATTTCAAATCCATTGTGGTGGTGTATAGAGCCAAAAATGTTAGAATTGTGTCCATGTCCCAATATTTATGGACCTGACTGTAAATGTTTTCAAATTTGTGTTTGTTTTTGCAACGTTGGATTTAGAGCAGGGGGGAGGGTTTGTTGGACTTTGGCATCCTCGCCTTGGGTGCCAGAGGACCTTATCCCGGGGCACAGGAACACAGCAGTGACATCCAGTTCAGCAGGAGGAAACTGGCGACAGCTTCCGGGGAATGGGGGGGGGGGGGGGGGAGGTTCCTGGAAATTGAAACTCCTGGAAGCGATGGATTTCCGAGCAGATTTGGGGGCCGATTTCTCGGGATCCGGGTTGGACTCGGCAGCAGCGACCGAAGTATTCTCTTCTCAGGCGTTCCTCAGGGCCTCTTAACTCCCTAGGAAATAAAAAATGACGGAAGAAAGTCGAGTAGAAATTTTGTATCATTTACAGAGGTTTTGTTTTACAAAAATTCTGTAGAAAATCCCAGAAAAAATTGGGCGTTTTGGCATCGGAATGGTTTATGGTGGTTTTTATTTAGGGGTGAAAAAAGGTTCCTGAGGGAAGCAAAACTTTAACCGCTTACCGACCCCCCCTATAGAAGATGTACTGCTACAGGGCGGCACGGGTGCACAAAATCACCGGGGTAGGGGGCGCGCACCCTACCCGCGCCGCCATTTGTGGCCGCAGCTGTCAATCACCGGAACCCGGCCAGTGATTACCAAGGATCTCCGATGGGGAGGAGAACGGTTTTGTTTACCAACAATCCTCCTCCCCGTCAGCCCGGGCGCACTGCACAGCCATCCACAGCAGTGTGAGTACAGTGAAGCACACAGACCCCGCCCCCTAGTAACCCACATGGAAGAAACATATATTTGAAATGCTACAATTGTGGCCATATTCAATATATTTCAAAATATATAAAAAAAAAAAATATCTATCTATATATATATATATATATATATATATATATATATATATATATATATATATATATAAAAAATATTTTTATATATTTTGTAAAATATTTTTCATATATTTTGTAATAGAAAACGATTATATATATATATATATACATCGTTTTCTATTACAAAATATATGAAAAATATTTTTAGAAATAAATTTCAAATATACTGTACGTCTTTAAGAAATACAAATCTACATTTTTGAAATGCATTTACAAATATGTGTACAAATATATGTGAAAATGACTTTTTTTTTTAAAATGTTAAAAAAATCTGAAGAATAGATTTAAAAAAAAAATAAATATTTTTCATATATTTTGTAATATATAAAAAATGCATTTCAACATGCAGTTTATAAAAAAAATCTGAAGAATAGATTTTAAAAAAAATATATTTTTAAAAACACATTTCAAATATACTGTACGTCTTTAAAAATACAAATCTACATTTTTGAAATGCATCTAGAAAAATATGTGAAAATTACTTTTTTTTTTATATGTTAAAAAAAAATCTGAAGAATATATTTTTAAAAATATATATTTTTAATATATTTTGTAATATATAAAAAACGCATTTCAACATGCAGTATATATAAAAAAAAAAAAAAAAAACAATCGGAATATATTTAAAAAATATATTTTTAAAAATACATTTCAAATATAATGCACGTCTTTAAAAATACAAATCTACGTTTTTGAAATGCATTTACAGATATGTGTACAAATATATGTGAAAATTACTTTTTTTATATGTTAAAAAAAAATCTGAAGAATATATTTAAAAAATATATATATTTTTCATATATTTTGTAATATATAAAAAACGCATTTCAACATGCAGTATATAAAAAAATCTGAATAATATATTTAAAAAATATATTTTTAAAAATACATTTAAAATATACTGTATGTCTTTAAAAATACAAATCTACGTTTTTGGAAGGCATTTACAAATATATGTGAAAATTACTCTTTTATATGTTAAAAAAAATTTTGAAGAATATATTTAAAAAAAATATATATTTTTAAAAATCTTTTTCATGTATTTTGTAATATATAAAAAACCCATTTCAACATACAATATATATATAGTAGCATTTCAAATATATGCCAATATATTTGGGAAGAATATTTTTAAAATATATTTTTCTTTTGTATGGGAAAACAGCACAGTTAACCCTTTGATCGCCCCTCGTGTTAACCCCTTCCTGCCCAGTGCCATTAGTACAGTGTCGGTGCTTTTTATTTAACACTGATCCCTGTATTGGTGTCACTGGGGGTGTCAGTTTCTATATGTCGCTGATTGCTGCTATTACTAGTTAAAAAAAAATAAGTTCCAGTATCTATACCGCCATTTGTAGACCGCCATCAGTGACACCAAGTCAGTCCCCCCCCCCCCAGTGACAGAATGCCCGCCGCAGTCCCGCTATAAGTCGCTGATCGCCGCCATTACTAGTAAAAATAAAAAATCCCCGTATCTATCCCGCCATTTGTAAACTCTACAACTTTCACGTAAACCAATTAATTTCCACGTTTCGGGGATTTTTTTTTTAGCGAAGACACGGAGCGGGAGGTCACAGCGAAGACACGGAGCGGGAGGTCACAGCGAAGACACGGAGCGGGAGGTCACAGCGAAGACACGGAGCGGGAGACATTTTGGCCAAAATTTATAACGAAATTAGATTTTTTTAAATTTTTTTACTGGACATGTTTTATAGCAAAAAGTAAAAATATATTGTTTTTCTTCTCAAAATTGTCGGTTTTTTCTTTTTATTGGGGGGGGGGGTGAAATCCTCAGGAGTTAAGGGGAGGGGAATCCTCAGGAGGGGGAGGGGAATACTGAAGAGAGGAGAGGAGAGGGGGGGGAATCCTCAGGAGGGGGAGGGGAATACTCAGGAGAGGGGGGGAATCCTCAGGAGGGGGGGGGAATCTCAGGAGTGGGGAGAGGGATGGAATCCTCAGGAGGGGGAGGGGAATACTCAGGGAGGTGGGGAGGAATCCTCAGGAGTGGAGGGGGGGGGAATCCTCAGGAGGGGGAGGGGAATACTCAGGAGAGGTGGGGGGGATCCTCAGGAGTGGGGAGGGGGGGATCCTCAGGAGGGGGAGGGGAATACTCAGGAAAGGGGGGGATCCTCAGGAGGGGAATACTCAGGAGAGGGGGGAATCCTCAGGAGGGCGAGGGGGGGGGGAGAAACCTCAGGAGTGGGGAGGGGGTGAATCCTCAGGAGGGGAATACTCAGGAAAGGGGGGGGGGGGAATCCTCAGGAGTGGGGGGATCCTCAGGAGAGGGAGGGGAATACTCAGGAGGGCGAGGGGGGGAATCCTCAGGAGGGTGAGGGGGGGAGGGAATCCTCAGGAGTGGGAGGGGAATACTCAGGAGAGGGGGGGATCCTCAGAAGGGCAAGGGGGGGAGGGAATCCTCAGGAGTGGGGAGGGTGGGGAATTCTCAGGAGGGGGAGGGGAATCCTCAGGAGAGGGGAGGAATCCTCAGGAGCGCAAAGAGGAAATTTTTCAGAAAATAAATTTGTTCTCGGTGCGTTCAACGTGAAGAAATACAGAGACAGTTGCCGTTAAACATGAGTTTGTTTATAAACAAAGCCGGGTGATTTTTTAAAATTTTTTTTATTATTATTTAATCAAAATTCATCTAAACAGTCAAGGTGGTGAAATTCGATGCTCATAATACATTGGTTACTTTGCTGCAAAATCAAGTGGGAAGAAAATCGCTCAGCTCCTCCCTAATTTAGACCGATTTGAACAAAACTGAAAGTGGGCGTGGCCCCATCACAAGGCAAAGCTTCCAAATACCAATAAAAATCTGGACTGGATCTATAAATAAATAATCGATGTGATTGTCCGGCGTTACATTCCTGGAAGTGGCTGCAAGATGTTCGCCTTCTTTGTCTTCTGATCAGGTGTGAAGGTAGGATCAAAGAGAACCTGTCAGTCCTGTTGCTACCCACAGTCCCGGTTTGCACCCGTGGATGGACCCAACGTTGGCCGATTCCCGGTCCCTGGAACAGGAGTACGGGGGGGGGGGGGGGGGGGCTGGACCACTGAACGTGGAGAGGAGGTATAATGTTCCTTCTGGTGTCGGGGAATTCCTTGAGGACCTGCGCCAAACAGAGTCTCGTATCTCCAACACGGCCCAAATATTGATGGTGGAACCGGAGACGTGAGAGCTCCAGAATACACTTCAGCCAGGAGATGCATGCCAGTAACACCAACAACATGTTTCGGGGGGGTTGAAAGGTCCCCATTGACCTGGGCTTAGTAGGTGCTGCAAGAATCCCCCAAGCCCCATGTTACGCGCCCCTCTTCTCCAGACCAGTACCGGGTCTCTTGTCCGGTGTGGGACTAGGGGATGCAATGCTCCTGTCTCTCCAGCAATCCTTGTGACTTCTCTGTCTCCAGTGACCCCTGTGTCTCCAGTGACCCCTATGGCTGCAGTGACCCCTGTGTCCCCAGCGACCCCTGTGGCTCCAGTGACCCTTGTTTCTCCAGTGACCCCTATGACCCCAGCAACCCCTGTGTCTCCAGTGACCCCTATGACTCCTGTGACTGCTCTGTCCCCAGCAATCCTTGTACCTTCTATGCCTCCAGCAACCCCGTGTCTGCAGTGACCCTTGCAACTCCTGTCTCCAGTGACCTGTGTCTCCTGAGACCTTTGGGACCCTTGTGTCTCCTTTGTCCCCAGCAACCCATATATTTCCAGCAACCCTTGTAAATCCTGTTTCTCCAGGGACCCCTGTGTTTCCAGCAACACTTGTGACTCCTGTACCTTCAATGACCCCCATGTCTCCAGAGACCCTTATGACCCCTGTGTCTCCAAAGACCCTTATGACCCGTTTCTCCAGTGACCCCTGTGTCTCCAGAGACCCTTATAACCCCTGTTCCTCCAGAGACCCTTTTGAACCCTGTTTCTCCAGTGATCCTTGTGTCTCCAGCAATCTCTGACTCCTGTGTCTTCAGCGACTCCGAAGTCTCCAGCAACCCCAGTGACTTCTGTGCCTTTGGTGAACCCAGCATCTCCAGTGACCCCACGGCCTCCAGTGTCACCCAGTGACTCCAGAGCACCGTCTCACACCGCGACCCCAGAGTATCCTGTGATCTGGGACTCCCTCTCTCTCTATCTGTGGATACAGACCCCGTCAGTGACAGCGGGGGGGACCTTTCAAACCCCAGAAATGCTTTGGCAGTTTTTACAGTCTGCATTCTGGGCGTGACACATCTTATTTTTGGTGCTTTCTCCCATGAACTTATATCCAGGAAATGGTGTCAGGGACGCCCCATGCTGTGCTCCGTCCTGGTAACTGCCACTGCTCCCCCTGGTAACTGCCACTACTCCCCTTCACCTTCCAGGGCTGCATGAGAGTCCCAGCTGTGACAGGTAAGAGACGATACTGACAGGTCCTCTTCAGGGTACCGCGTGAACTCACTATGAACAATTTCTAGGACGACTCTCTGACAGTCTACGCACCAATCAGATGATGATACACAGAGCACAATAAACAGTCCATTTCCATTGGTTGATCATCAGGCTTAGACTTTGGCTGACAAAAACCAACTGTTTGTTAAATGTCAGTTGTACGTAGAGATTGTGGGGGGGGGGGGGGGGGCAGTGAAGAGGGGATCGCTCACACATATTACGAGTGCCCGACACTGAGCATACAACTTCCCGAGCAGCACATCACAGTTGCTTGGGCTGGGACCTTCTCCTTCGACGCATTTCACCCAAAATCTGGGCCGAAGCCTATGCTTTGAGTGAAACGCGTCAGTGGAGTCGGTAGCAGGTGGAGATTTTTTTATCTGCCTGTTCAGAACAATAAAGTTACGCCTTTAAATTCTAACAGAGGGCTTTTGCTACTTGAATACATTTTTCAGCACAGCGTTACCGGGCGGTCAGGTTACGCCGTCACGGCACACGTTACGCCGTCACAGCAGATGTTACGCTATCACGTACAGGTTACGCCGTCACGGCACACGTTACGCCGTCACAGCAGATGTTACACCATCACGTACAGGTTACGCCGTCACGGAACAGGTTACGCCGTCACGGCACACGTTACGCCGTCACGGCACACGTTACGCCGTCACGGCACACGTTACGCCGTCACGGCACACGTTACGCCGTCACGGCACACGTTACGCCGTCACGGCACACGTTACGCCGTCACGGCACACGTTACGCCGTCACGGCACACGTTACGCCGTCACGGCACACGTTACGCCGTCACGGCACACGTTACGCCGTCACGGCACACGTTACGCCGTCACGGCACACGTTACGCCGTCACGACAGTGTGTGACTGTACAGCAAAAATACACAGCTACAGAACTGAATTTTAATTGTGTAGTTGGGGGTCGTTAAAAATATGCGGATGAACTGAGTTTGTAGCACCCGCCACCCCCCCTCTTAAGCTGCAATGACAGCGAATGGGGGTGATCACATGCCAAGGTTGTGATGCTTCGCTTTATGGCCCACCTTGGGCGTGTCAGCGAGAGAGGGGCGGAGCGTGGAACTTATGCTGCTGGGGGGCGTGCTTTAGCCTTTTAGCGTCAAACATGTGCGATTCGTCTCGCTCAGAATCGAAATTCAGACAAAACTTCAATTTTTTGGAGAGGTATCCGAATTTCCCAATTACAATAGTAACAAATTTAAACAAATCCAAAATAACAAAATTAAATTTCATCCGAAATACCAAATCATCCAAATTCGACTCGAATCTGAAAACGAAATCTCAATTGAAAAATCAAATTTGAAATGTTAACATATTGCCGATTTTCTTCAAAGGCTAGCCGTCTTCTGAAATTGTAATTTAAAAAAACAATAGAATAAAATTAAAACAAATAGGCTAGAATAGAAAATGAAATAAAAGAATGGAAAATAAAGGAAAATAATAGATTTAAAAAAAAATAGAATAGAATAGAGAGAATATAGCCGTCTTTCGAAATTCGAATTTCAAAATTCGAAAAGAATAGATTAAACTGGAAAGAAGATAACCGACCGTCTTCCGAAATGTGAATTTCTAAAATAGAATAAAACAGACTAGAAAAAGGATAGAATAACACATAATGGAATATAAAACAAAAGAACAGAATAGAAAATAAAAGAATAGAATAAAATAGAAAGAATATAATCAACCGTCTTACGAAATGTGAATTTCTAAAAGAATAGAATAGAAAAAGACTAGAATAAAACATAATAGAATATACAACAAAACAATAGCATAGAAAATAATAGAATAGAAAATAAAAGAATAGAAAAGAATAGAAAAAAAAAAAAAATAGAACAGAAAGAATATTTGAATTTTGAAAACAATAGAATAGAAAAAAAAATAGTATAAAATAGGAAAACTATAGCCGTCTTCCAAAATTCGAATTTTTAAAAGAATAGAATAAAACATAATGGAATATAAAACAAAATATTGGAATAGAAAATAAAAGAATAGAATAAAATAGAAAATAAAAGAATAAAAAAAAAAAATAGAATAAAAAGAATATAGCCGTATTCCAAAATTACAATTTTGAAAACAATAGAGTAGAATAACACAGAATGAGAAAAAAAAAAAATAGAAAGAATATAGCCCCCTACCAAAATTTTAATTTTGAAAAGAATAGAATAAAATAGAATGGAAAAGAATAGAATAAAACAATTTAATATAAAACAAAATAATAGAACAGAATAAATAAAAAATAAAATAAAAAAAAAATATAGAATAGAAAGAACATAGCTGTATTCCAAAATTAAAATTTTGAAAACAACAGAATAGAATAGAAAAAAAAAAATAATATATACAGGAAGAATAGAGCCCTCTTCCAAAATTCGAATTTCAAAAAGAATAGAATAAAACAGAATAGAAAAAAATAGAATAGAATAAATCAGAAAGAATATAGTGGTCTTCTGAAATTTGAAATTTGAATTTCAAATAGAATAGAACCAGCTATTCTTCACAACAAATTCGGATCGATTCAATATTTTCATTTTGAATTTCGATTCGAATAATTTCGAACCCATTGGAAAAAAATATTCGAATCCGGTTGAAAACGAATAAACGAAATGGAATTAGTAACTTAAAGAATCGATCTGAAACATTTTTTTTTCCATTCTGCACATGTTGGCGTACAGCCGGCTAACGTTGCTGCAGGCTCTGTGCTGTGGGCCGGTTGCTGTACAGTCAGAATACACCATCATGGTCCAGGCACGGCGCTGTGCGGGGGGAGTGTACATCCGGAGTACACCATCATGGTCCAGGCACGGCGCTGTGCGGGGGAGTGTACATCCGGAGTACACCATCATGGTCCAGGCACGGCGCTGTGCGGGGGAGTGTACATCCGGAGTACACCATCATGGTCCAGGCACGGCGCTGTGCGGGGGAATGTACATCCGGAGTACACCATCATGGTCCAGGCACGGCGCTGTGCGGGGGAGTGTACATCCGGAGTACACCATCATGGTCCAGGCACGGCGCTGTGCGGGGGAGTGTACACCCGGAGTACACCATCATGGTCCAGGCACGGCGCTGTGCGGGGGAGTGTACATCCGGAGTACACCATCATGGTCCAGGCACGGCGCTGTGCGGGGGGAGTGTACATCCGGAGTACACCATCATGGTCCAGGCACGGCGCTGTGCGGGGGGAGTGTACATCCGAGAGTACACCATCATGGTCCAGGCACGGCGCTGTGCGGGGGAGTGTACATCCGGAGTACACCATCATGGTCCAGGCACGGCGCTGTGCGGGGGAGTGTACATCCGGAATACACCATCATGGTCCAGGCACGGCGCTGTGCGGGGGAGTGTACAGCCGGAGTACACCATCATGGTCCAGGCACGGCGCTGTGCGGGGGAGTGTACATCCGGAGTACACCATCATGGTCCAGGCACAGCGCTGTGCGGGGGAGTGTACATCCGGAGTACACTATCATGGTCCAGGCACAGCGCTGTGCGGGGGAGTGTACATCCGGAGTACACTATCATGGTCCAGGCACGGCGCTGTGCGGGGGAGTGTACATCCGGAGTACACTATCATGGTCCAGGCACGGCGCTGTGCGGGGGAGTGTACATCCGGAGTACACCATCATGGTCCAGGCACGGTGCTGTGCGGGGGGGGGGGAGTGTACATCCGGAGTACACGGTCCAGGCACGGCGCTGTGCGGGGGAGTGTACATCCGGAGTACACCATCATGGTCCAGGCACAGCGCTGTGCGGGGGAGTGTACATCCGGAGTACACCATCATGGTCCAGGCACGGCGCTGTGCGGGGGAGTGTACATCCGGAGTACACCATCATGGTCCAGGCACAGCGCTGTGCGGGGGAGTGTACATCCGGAGTACACCATCATGGTCCAGGCACGGCGCTGTGCGGGGGAGTGTACATCCGGAGTACACCATCATGGTCCAGGCACGGCGCTGTGCGGGGGAGTGTACATCCGGAGTACACCATCATGGTCCAGGCACGGCGCTGTGCGGGGGAGTGTACATCCGGAGTACACCATCATGGTCCAGGCACGGCGCTGTGCGGGGGAGTGTACATCCGGAGTACACCATCATGGTCCAGGCACGGCGCTGTGCGGGGGAGTGTACATCCGGAGTACACCATCATGGTCCAGGCACGGCGCTGTGCGGGGGAGTGTACATCCGGAGTACACCATCATGGTCCAGGCACAGCGCTGTGCGGGGGGAGTGTACATCCGGAGTACACCATCATGGTCCAGGCACGGCGCTGTGCGGGGGAGTGTACATCCGGAGTACACCATCATGGTCCAGGCACGGCGCTGTGCGGGGGAGTGTACATCCGGAGTACACCATCATGGTCCAGGCACGGCGCTGTGCGGGGGAGTGTACATCCGGAGTACACCATCATGGTCCAGGCACAGCGCTGTGCGGGGGAGTGTACATCCGGAGTACACCATCATGGTCCAGGCACGGCGCTGTGCGGGGGAGTGTACATCCGGAGTACACCATCATGGTCCAGGCACAGCGCTGTGCGGGGGAGTGTACATCCGGAGTACATCATCATAGTCCAGGCACAGCGCTGTGCGGCGGGGTGTGTACATCCGGAGTACACCATCATGGTCCAGGAACGGCGCTGTGCAGGGGAGTGTACATCCGGAGTACATCATCATAGTCCAGGCACGGCGCTGTGCGGGGGAGTGTACATCCGGAGTACACCATCATGGTCCAGGCACGGCGCTGTGCGGGGGGAGTGTACATCCGGAGTACACGGTCCAGGCACGGCGCTGTGCGGGGGAGTGTACATCCGGAGTACACGGTCCAGGCACGGCGCTGTGCGGGGGAGTGTACACCCGGAGTACACCATCATGGTCCAGGCACGGCGCTGTGCGGGGGAGTGTACATCCGGAGTACACCATCATGGTCCAGGCACGGCGCTGTGCGGGGGAGTGTACATCCGGAGTACATCATCATAGTCCAGGCACGGCGCTGTGCGGGGGAGTGTACATCCGGAGTACACCATCATGGTCCAGGCACGGCGCTGTGCGGGGGAGTGTACATCCGGAGTACACGGTCCAGGCACGGCGCTGTGCGGGGGAGTGTACATCCGGAGTACACGGTCCAGGCACGGCGCTGTGCGGGGGAGTGTACATCCGGAGTACATCATCATAGTCCAGGCACGGCGCTGTGCGGGGGAGTGTACATCCGGAGTACACCATCATGGTCCAGGCACGGCGCTGTGCGGGGGAGTGTACAGCCAGCGATCACAGGGTGTGTACGGTCCTCTTCCTGTGCTCAGGGGAGGTGGGAAGATACTCTGGGATTCAACTCAGTAGCCTGTTGGGATGAGAAATAGAAGCCCCGCCCCATACCCACCCCCGAGGGGTCTCTCTTGCACCTCCCTTATCTCCAGAGGCGGGGTGATGACACAACCAGCACAGACAGTCTCGGTGACACAGTTCGGCAGTCTCCGTTGTCCCCGCACTGCGCCCAAACCTCCTCAGGCATTGATGGAATTGGCAACGTCCGTGAAGACCAGTCGGGTGGGTCTCTGCAGCGGGCACAGGCTGGTCAGGAGAACCTGAAACGCCAACAGAGAAGACATGCGTCATACGGGGGAAATACTGGGCGGAGTCTCCCAGACACAATCGTCTGATAGGTTGTGAACAGTGGCATGATACACGTGACCAAAAAAACGTCATGGAAGTACACGGGGTGTGCGCACTTCCCCCTCCCCCCACTTGTCGGCAATTCCCAGATGTCAGAATGACAGCCAGGGTTGCTGTGAGAAATGTATCAGCTGTAAGTCACCGGTCACACCGCTGCGATTTCAAATTGCGCGATTTCTGAAGATTTTCAATGATTTTCTTGCGACTCGCGCTGCGATTTCCATTATATTCCGTGTCTGTGAAATCGCAACAAAACTGCAGGAAAGGAAATGCAGGAACTTTAGAAATCGCGTCGCAGCCAATCGCACATTAAGACGCCGACATTCACATACATTGGATGCGATCTCAATTCGCAAATCACATTGGGGTGACCGGGGACTAATAGCTGCTGCTGGCAAATGATGAACCGCTTTACACAGTCAATGTTTATAAACATCGATCAGACGGGAGATAGAGATACAAAGTAATATTGTTTATAAACATCGATCAGACGGGAGATGGAGAGATACAAAGTAACATTGTTTTATAAACATCGATCAGACGGGAGATGGAGAGATACAAAGTAACATTGTTTATAAACATCGATCAGACGGGAGATAGAGATACAAAGTAACATTGTTTATAAACATCGATCAGACGGGAGATAGAGAGATACAAAGTAACATTGTTTATAAACATCGATCAGACGGGAGATGGAGAGATACAAAGTAACATTGTTTATAAACATCGATCAGACGGGGGATGGAGAGATACAAAGTAACATTGTTTATAAACATCGATCAGACGGGAGATAGAGATAAAAAGTAACATTGTTTATAAACATCGATCAGACGGGAGATAGAGATACAAAGTAACATTGTTTATAAACATCGATCAGACGGGGGATGGAGAGATACAAAGTAACATTGTTTATAAACATCGATCAGACGGGAGATGGAGAGATACAAAGTAACATTGTTTATAAACATCGATCAGGGCGGGAGATGGAGAGATACAAAGTAACATTGTTTTATAAACATCGATCAGACGGGAGATAGAGATACAAAGTAACATTGTTTATAAACATCGATCAGACGGGAGATAGAGAGATACAAAGTAACATTGTTTATAAACATCGATCAGACGGGAGATAGAGAGATACAAAGTAATATTGTTTATAAACATCGATCAGACGGGAGATGGAGAGATACAAAGTAACATTATTTATAAACATCGATCAGACGGGAGATAGAGAGATACAAAGTAACATTGTTTATAAACATCGATCAGACGGGAGATAGAGAGATACAAAGTAACATTGTTTATAAACATCAGACGGGAGATGGAGAGATACAAAGTAACATTGTTTATAAACATCGATCAGACGGGAGATAGAGAGATACAAAGAAACATTGTTTATAAACATCGATCAGACGGGAGATGGAGAGATACAAAGTAACATTGTTTATACACATCGATCAGACGGGAGATAGAGAGATACAAAGTAACATTGTTTATAAACATCGATCAGACGGGAGATAGAGAGATACAAAGTAACATTGTTTATAAACATCGATCAGACGGGAGATAGAGAGATACAAAGTAACATTGTTTATAAACATCGATCAGACGGGAGATAGAGATACAAAGTAACATTGTTTATAAACATCGATCAGACGGGAGATAGAGAGATACAAAGTAACATTGTTTATAAACATCGATCAGACGGGAGATGGAGAGATACAAAGTAACATTGTTTATAAACATCGATCAGACGGGAGATAGAGAGATACAAAGTAACATTGTTTATAAACATCGATCAGACGGGAGATAGAGCGATACAAAGTAACATCTGCAGATCACAGGGATGAGCTCCATCTGCACATTATGATGTCAGAATCGCCCGAATGACCTCATCCTTCCTCTTCTCTCTATTTCTGTTAATCTTAGTTTCCTGAAGATAATTGTTTTTGGATTTTTTTTCTGTTTTTCTAATCTTTTTGTTTATATTTTTATTCGTAATGTTTGGTATTTTTTAAGTGTTGCATTTTAATAAAAATGCAAAATTGAAACAAAAGAACAACAGGGAGACTTCTGTACCTTTCCTTGAGGCTGGAGATCTCGGTTTGGCTCCAGCAGCTCCTGTTCCAGGTCTTCCTGCTCCTCCGCCGGGTCAAAGTTGTACATCGGCATCAGCTGGTGACGGAGCTTCTCCAGCCTGGGGGAGGAGAAGATTCGGACAATTCAAAGTCAGGGAGCTGCTTTTGTTATGTAATCAACAATGTAACGAGGATAAAGCCGCAGAGTGCGGTGAATCTAACATTCCCCCGAGTTTTAGCCACTTTTTCACCTCCTAGACATGTTAGCTCCCTTGTAATAGCAAAAAACAAAGTGACTTCTAGTGAAGACTTTTGGGTATAAATAAACATTTTAAAACATTTAAACATTTTAAAAATATATATAAAAAAAAGGTTGCCATGGTTTTAACAAAACTGCACTTATTTAAAAACTGCAAAAATAAATAAACCGGGACGAGGAAATAAAAAAGAAAAAAAGAAAAGAAAATGAAACAGAGAAAAAGGAAGAGAGAAGGCTCACCTCTTCTGTTTCCTGATGTACAGAACCTGCAGAGCCCAAAGGACAGGTGAGACGGAAGGAGGGAGAGAGATGGGAAGGAGGGAGGGAGAGAGACGGAAAGGAGGGAGAGAGAGAGACGGAAAGGAGGGAGAGAGAGAGACGGAAAGGAGGGAGAGAGAGAGACGGGAAGGAGGGAGAGAGAGAGAGACGGGAAGGAGGGAGGAGAGAGAGAGAGAGACGGGAAGGAGGGAGGGAGAGAGAGAGACGGGAAGGAGGGAGGGAGAGAGAGAGACGGGAAGGAGGGAGGGAGAGAGAGAGACGGAAAGGAGGGAGAGAGAGAGACGAAAAGGAGGGAGAGAGAGAGACGGAAAGGAGGGAGAGAGAGAGACGGAAAGGAGGGAGAGAGAGAGACGGAAAGGAGGGAGAGAGAGAGACGGAAAGGAGGGAGAGAGAGAGACGGAAAGGAGGGAGAGAGAGACGGGAAGGAGGGAGAGAGAGAGAGACGGGAAGGAGGGAGAGAGACGGGAAGGAGGGAGCGAGAGAGAGACAGGAAGGAGGGAGCGAGAGAGAGACGGGAAGGAGGGAGCGAGAGAGAGACGGGAAGGAGGGAGCGAGAGAGAGACGGGAAGGAGGGAGCGAGAGAGAGACGGGAAGGAGGGAGCGAGAGAGAGACGGGAAGGAGGGAGCGAGAGAGAGACGGGAAGGGGGGAGAGAGAGAGACGGGAAGGGGGGAGAGAGAGAGACGGGAAGGGGGGGAGAGAGAGAGAGACGGGAAGGGGGGGGGAGAGAGAGAGAGACGGGAAGGGGGGGGGGAGAGAGAGAGACGGGAAGGAGGGGGAGAGAGAGACGGGAAGGAGGGGGAGAGAGAGACGGGAAGGAGGGGGAGAGAGAGACGGGAAGGAGGGGGAGAGAGAGACGGGAAGGAGGGGGAGAGAGAGACGGGAAGGAGGGGGGGAGAGAGAGACGGGAAGGAGGGGGAGAGAGAGAGAGACGGGAAGGGGGGGAGAGAGAGAGAGACGGGAAGGAGGGGGAGAGAGAGAGAGAGACGGGAAGGAGGGGGAGAGAGAGAGAGACGGGAAGGAGGGGGAGAGAGAAAGACGGGAAGGAGGGGGAGAGAGAGAGACGGGAAGGAGGGAGAGAGAGAGACGGGAAGGAGGGAGAGAGAGAGAGACGGGAAGGAGGGAGAGAGAGAGAGAGAGACGGGAAGGAGGGAGAGAGAGAGAGACGGGAAGGAGGGAGAGAGAGAGAGACGGGAAGGAGGGAGAGAGAGAGAGACGGGAAGGAGGGAGAGAGAGAGAGACGGGAAGTAGGGAGAGAGAGAGAGACGGGAAGTAGGGAGAGAGAGACAGGAAGGAGGGAGAGAGAGACGGGAAGTAGGGAGAGAGAGACGGGAAGTAGGGAGAGAGAGAGAGACGGGAAGGAGGGAGAGAGAGACGGGAAGGAGGGAGAAAGAGAGACGGGAAGTAGGGAGAGAGAGAGACGGTAAGGAGAGAGAGAAAGGTGAAGGAGGAGATAGAGAGAAACGGTGGAAGAGAGAGAGAAAAAAATAGAGACATTAGTGGGGGAAGGTAATAAAAAAAAAGAGAATGGAGCAATCAGAGCAGAAATGGAGGAAATGAGATTTTGGAGGGTAATGGTGGTTGTAGAGGGGGTTGTAATGTAGTAGAGTTGCAGTAGTGGGAGAGGATGAGGGGAGGCAGTGAGAGGTTGGAGGGTAGAGGTAGTGGTAGTGTGGAGGAATAAGGGGTTAGACGGTTGTGGTGATGAGGATGGGGGGAGGAGATGGGAGGTTGGTTGGAGTTTAGCGGTAGTTGGGGGATGAGAGATTGGTGGGTAGAGACAGTGGGGGGGGGGGGGTGAGAATTTGGAGACTAGCGACTGTAGAGGGATGAAAGGTTGGAGGGTAGGAGTAATCGGGGGGGGGGGGCAGATAGGAGGTTGGAGGGTGGTGGTAATGGAGATTGGATGAGAGGTTGGAGGGTGGTGGTAATGGGGGTAGGATGAAAGGTTGGGGTAATGGGGGGACAGATAGGAAGTTGGATGGTAGCTATAGCTGGGAAGGATGGGAGATTGGAGGGTAACAATAGTGAAGGTTGGAGGGTGGTGGTAATGGGGGTTGGACGAGAGGTTGGAGGGTGGTGGTAATGGCGATTGGACGAGAGGTTGGAGGGTGGTGGTAATGGGGATTGGACGAGAGGTTAGAGGGTGGTGGTAATGGGGATTGGACGAGAGGTGGGAGGGTGGTGGTAATGGGGATTGGACGAGAGGTTGGAGGGTGGTGGTAATGGGGATTGGACGAGAGGTTGGAGGGTGGTGGTAATGGGGATTGGACGAGAGGTTGGAGGGTGGTGGTAATGGGGATTGGACGAGAGGTTGGAGAGTGGTGGTAATGGGGATTGGACGAGAGGTTGGAGGGTGGTGGTAATGGCGACTGGACGAGAGGTTGGAGGGTGGTGGTAATGGCGATTGGACGAGAGTTTGGAGGGTGGTGGTAATGGGGATTGGACGAGAGGTTAGAGGGTGGTGGTAATGGGGATTGGACGAGAGGTTAGAGGGTGGTGGTAATGGGGATTGGACGAGAGGTTGGAGGGTGGTGGTAATGGGGATTGGACGAGAGGTTGGAGGGTGGTGGTAATGGGGATTGGACGAGAGGTTGGTGGTAATGGGGATTGGACGAGAGGTTGGAGAGTGGTGGTAATGGGGATTGGACGAGAGGTTGGAGGGTGGTGGTAATGGCGACTGGACGAGAGGTTGGAGGGTGGTGGTAATGGCGATTGGACGAGAGTTTGGAGGGTGGTGGTAATGGGGATTGGACGAGAGGTTAGAGGGTGGTGGTAATGGGGATTGGACGAGAGGTTAGAGGGTGGTGGTAATGGGGATTGGACGAGAGGTTGGAGGGTGGTGGTAATGGGGATTGGACGAGAGGTTGGAGGGTGGTGGTAATGGGGATTGGACGAGAGGTTGGTGGTAATGGGGATTGGACGAGAGGTTGGAGAGTGGTGGTAATGGGGATTGGACGAGAGGTTGGAGGGTGGTGGTAATGGCGACTGGACGAGAGGTTGGAGGGTGGTGGTAATGGCGATTGGAGGAGAGTTTGGAGGGTGGTGGTAATGGGGATTGGATGGAGAGGTTGGAGGGTGGTGGTAATGGGGATTGGATGAGAGGTTGGAGGGTGGTGGTAATGGGGGTTGGACGAGAGGTTGGAGGGTGGTGGTAATGGGGGTTGGACAAGAGGTTGGGAAAGAGGTGGTAATGGGGATTGGACGAGAGGTTGGAGGGTGGTCGTAATAGGGGTTGTATGAGAGGTTGCAGGATGGTTGTAGTGGGGGGGCTGATAGGAGGTTGGAGGGTAGTGATAGCTGGGAAGGATGGGAGATTGGAGGATAACAATAGTGAAGGTTGGAGGAAAAGTTGGAGGGTAGTGGTAGTAAGGGGATTAGAGGTTGGAGAATAGTGAGGGTTGGAGGAGAGGTTGTAGGGTTATAAAGGAGGGATGAGAGGTTGGAGGGTGGTGGCAATGGGGGTGGGATGAGAGGCTGGAGGGTGGGGGTAATGGGGGTTGGATGAGAGGCTGGAAGGTGGTGGTAATGGGGGTAGGATGAGAGGCTAGAGGGTGGGTGGTGGTAGGGGGGTGTTGGATGGGAGGTTGGAGGGTGGTGGTAATGGGGGTTGGGTTGAGAGGTTGGGGGGGGGGGGTGGGGGGGGGGGGTTGGATGAGAGGTTGGAGGGTGGTGGTAATGGGGGTTGGATGAGAGGTTGGAGGGTGGTGGTAATGGGGGTTGGATGAGAGGTTGGGGGTGGTGGTAAGATGAGTGGGACAGGAGATTGGAGGGTAATGAGGGGAGGGAGAAACAAGACATTGGAGGACAGTGGCAGTGGGGGGATGAGAGGTCGGAGGGTAGCGATAGTGGGGGATGAGAGGTCGGAGGATAGCGATAGTGGGGGGTGAGAGGTCGGAGGATAGCGATAGGGGGGGTGAGAGGTCGGAGGGTAGGGTTAGATAGTGGGGGGTGAGAGGTCGGAGGGTAGCGATAGTGGGGGGTGAGAGGTCAGGGGGTAGCGATAGTGGGGGGGGTGAGAGGTCGGAGGGTAGCGATAGTGGGGGGTGAGAGGTCGGAGGGTAGCGATAGTGGGGGGGGGTGAGGTCGGAGGGTAGCGATAGTGGGGGGTGAGAGGTCGGAGGGTAGCGATAGTAGGGGTGGGGGGGGGGGGGGTGGGGAGGTCGGGAGGATAGCGATAGTGGGGGGGTGAGAGGTCGGAGGATAGCGATAGTGGGGGGGGGTGAGAGGTCGGTGGGATAGCGATAGTGGGGGGGGGGGGGGTGAGAGGTCGGAGGATAGCGATAGTGGGGGGTGAGAGGTCGGAGGATAGCGATAGTGGGGGGGGGTGAGAGGTCGGAGGATAGCGATAGTGGGGGGGGTGAGAGGTCGGAGGATAGCGATAGTGGGGGGTGAGAGGTCGGAGGATAGCGATAGTGAGAGTAGAGGGGGAGGTTGCAGGGTAGTGAGGGGGGGGGGGGTGAGAGGTTGCAGGGTAGTGATGGGGGGGGGGGGTGAGAGGTTGCAGGGTAGTGATGGGGGGGGTGAGAGGTTGCAGGGTAGTGATGGGGGGGGGGAGATGAGAGGTTGCAGGGTAGTGATGGGGGGGGTGAGAGGTTGCAAGGTAGTGATGGGGGGGGGGGTGGGGTGAGAGGTTGCAGGGTAGTGATGGGGGGGGGAGGGTGAGAGGTTGCAGGGTAGTGATCGGGGGGGTGAGAGGTTGCAGGGTAGTGATCGGGGGGGGTGAGAGGTTGCAGGGTAGTGATCGGGGGGGTGGGTGAGAGGTTGCACGGTAGTGATGGGGGGGGGGTGAGAGGTTGCAGGGTAGTGATGGGGGTTTGAGAGGTTGCAGGGTAGTGATGGGGGGGGTGAGAGGTTGGGGGTAGTGATGGGGGGGGGGTGAGAGGTTGCAGGGGTAGTTGGGGGGGGGGGGGGGGTGAGAGGTTGCAGGGTAGTGATGGGGGGGGGGGTGAGAGGTTGCAGGGTAGTGACGGGGGGGTGAGAGGTTGCAGGGTAGTGATGGGGGGGGGGGTGAGAGGTTGCAGGGTAGTGATGGAGGGGGGGGGGGTGAGAGGTTGCAGGGTAGTGATGGGGGGTTGAGAGGTTGCAGGGTAGTGATGGGGGTGAGAGGTTGCAGAGTAGCGATGGGGGGGTGAGAGGTTGCTGGGTAGCGGAGGGGGGGTGAGAGGTTGCAGGGTAGTGATGGGGGGGGGTGAGAGGTTGCAGGGTAGTGATGGGGGGGGGGGGTGAGAGGTTGCAGGGTACTGATGGGGGGGGGGTGAGAGGTTGCAGGGTACTGATGGGGGGGGGGGGTGAGAGGTTGCAGGGTAGTGATGGGGGGGGTGAGAGGTTGCAGGGTAGTATGGGGGGGGTGAGAGGTTGCAGGGTAGTGATGGGGGGGGGGGGTGAGAGGTTGCAGGGTAGTGATGGGGGGTGAGAAGGAGAAAAATGAGTGAAATTGCTACAGAGAATGTTGGGTTTTGGGGGGGGGGCCATGACCACACACAGCACAGGCCAGACATGAGGGAGTTTATAGTGGCAGATGCGGCCATGTTGTGGTCCGGACTCAGTGGCGGGTCGGTTACTTTGTTTCCTAAAACACACCAGAAACTGAGGTCCCTCACCACCTATGAGACCCGTTGAGGTCCCTCACCGCCTATGAGACCCAATGAGGTCCCTCACCGCCTATGAGACCCGCTGAGGGCCCTCACCGCCTATGAGACCCAATGAGGTCCCTCACCACCTATGAGACCCAATGAGGTCCCTCACCGCCTATGAGACCCGCTGAGGGCCCTCACCACCTACCCCAGTGTGGACACACCAGTGAACTTCCCTTCACTGGCCCGACCCAAAGGCAGCCTATCAGTTTACAGGGACCACATCGCTGATGCTAATTTTTGCCGTCCATCAAACTGAAGGGCTGTGTATTTGCACCACAAGATGGCCGCCTCTGCTGCGCATGCGTTGGTCAGCGGGAGGGGGTATCTATGATGCCTACATTTTGGTTATTACGCACCATCGCCACAGCCAGTCCGATCACAGTGACAATGCCAAGAGAGAGCAGCCAGGTGCCCACTGTGGGGGATTTCCACCATGCTCCGCCCCCCGGGTGCCATTATAAGGGGGTGTGGCTGAGCTGGGTTCCGCGCTCCCCCCGCCGTACACCGGGGACGTCACAGTGTGGTTCATGGTAGAGCCGTCACCAGCAGCCGCCCACACCAAGTCACTCATCCCGGGAACGGCTGACGTCTCTGATGCACCAACCTGGACGGAGACAAAAAAAAACATGGGAGTCATCCCTGGCCATAGCGTGCAAAACAGCGTCCAATCCGGTGCGCAGGAAAAATTCCAGCTATGTACAAAACCGCTGCAATTTGATGTTAAAATGATAAATATTGTAATTTAATAAAAAAATTTTTATATATTTAATATATATATATATTAATGACAAAATAATAATAATGTTATTATTTATGTCAAAAATGTATATTTTATCTTATTATTTTTGTTCATAATAGCAATAATAATAACATAAAATAATTGTTATTGTTTTTATTACTAATAACAAGACCATAATAATATTTTTTTTATTATTATTATTATTTTATTATGGTTATTATAATTAATGTTAATTAAAAAATACATCAAGCACAATAACAATTATTATTACTACTATTTAATATTATTAAAAAATGTTAATGTTTTTTTTTTTTTTTTTTTTAAAAGGTATTATTCTATATGATTATTGCTGTTAATAATAATCTAAAATTATTGTTATTGTCACTGCTAATAATAACATATTTATTAAACCTGTATATACAGTTGTATTTATTATGATGGTTATAAAAAATAATAATAAAACTAATAGAACATTATTATTATTATTATGATTATTTATTATTATTATTATTTTTATTATTATTAATAATAATAATATTCACATAATAATTATAATGGTATTTATTTTTATTTTTTAAAGTATTATTTTATATGATTATTGTTGTTAATAAGAGCCATAACATGTAATATACCTATTATTAGTACTATTCCTTCAACAAATAATAATATAAAAAACAACATTTTTTCACTATTTATAGATTAAATAATTAAAAAAAAATAATAATAAAACAATATACAATAATAAAGATAACACTAATACAAAAAAAATAATAATGATATTTATTATTAATAGAAGGACGGGGTAAAAAGCGAAAAAATATTTATTTTATTACTATTGCTTTTAATAAATAATAATAGCAGGGGCGGACTGACAACTATGGGGCCCCCAGGCAATAGGGGATCATAGGGCCCCTGTGTCCTCGCCCACACCCAAAAAGCCTATTAAAAAAGCCAAAAAAAAAAGGTACCGGGGCATCTAATAAAATTAAAAATGGGGCCCCCTAGTGAGCCCGGGCCCTCGGGCATTGCCCTAGTGTTCGAATGGTCAGTCCGCCCCTATATAATAATAATTATAATTATAATAATATTGTTTAATATATTATTTATTAAAAATGTATATGTTTATTATTATTAAACATAAAATTTAAAACATAACATTTTAAAAAACATTTAATAACATTTATTTTTAAAAAAAAAAAATGTAATAATAAATATTCAATCATAATGATAATAATAAATACAGTAATAATATCTATTATTATTAATATAAGAAAAAAAGAGGCAAGAAGCTAAAAAATAATGAAATATAAAAAAAAAAAATAGGAAAGGGGAAAGACACTAAAATATTATTATTATTATTATTAGTATAATTTAGTTATTTTAGTATTATTTTTAATATTATTGTTGGGTCATTTTCTTGCTTTAGTATTATTATCATCAATGTAATTATTATTATTAATATTATTTATAATAAAAAGGTTGGTATAAATAATAATTTCATTGATGATAATAATACTAAAGCAAGAAAATGACCCAACAATAATATTAAAAATAAAAATACTAAAATAACTAAATTATACTAATATGAAAAATAAATAATGATAATAGAAGGAAAGGGCAGGATAACAAATTAAAATAATGATGATAATAAGAATAAAAAAACACTAAAACAAAAAATAATAATACAAAAAAAAATAATTATACTAAAATATAATGCACCCTGGTCTCAGCATGCAGTGGGTGCACAGGGGGCCCCCTGGTCTCAGCATGCAGTGGGTGCACAGGGGGCCCCCTGGTGCACAGGGGGGGCCCCTCAGCATGCAGTGGGTGCACAGGGGGTGGTCTCACATGCAGTGGGTGCCCCCCCCCTGGTCTCAGCATGCAGTGGGTGCACAGGGGGCCCCTGGTCTCAGCATGCAGTGGGTGCACAGGGGGCCCCCTGGTCTCAGCATGCAGTGGGTGCACAGGGGGGCCCCCTGGTCTCAGCATGCAGTGCACAGTGGGTGCTCAGCATGCAGTGGGTGCACAGGGGGCCCCCTGGTCTCAGCATGCAGTGGGTGCACAGGGGGCCCCCTGGTCTCAGCATGCAGTGGGTGCACAGGGGGCCCCCTGGTCTCAGCATGCAGTGGGTGCACAGGGGGGCCCCCCCCTGGTCTCAGCATGCAGTGGGTGCACAGGGGGCCCCCCCTGGTCTCAGCATGCAGTGGGTGCACAGGGGCCCCCCCCCTGGTCTCAGCATGCGGGCATGCAGTGGGTGCCCGGGGGGGTGGCCCC